GTGGAGTCCGTTAAAGTAAACTATTACTTGGTTATCTGTTAATGTCCAATTATAAAGGAATTTGTAATGAATGTTTTCAACTAGATGGTAGCCGGTGTCCAATTGTATGCTTCTTGTCACGGGACCCTGAGTAGAGATGTTATAAAAACCCTGGACCATCGCAATAAAGCGGACATATTTGTGATCTTATAGATCTGTGTGTATGTTCCGGTGCCTCTCCGTCAAAATACATAAGAGTCCTGCTCTCTGATTTCTTGCTTTGAAACACCTCTCCTTGCTCTCCCTACTCCTGCATTCCTTCTTGGGCACTCCTGTCAAAGACAGAGATCAAGGTAACTTTCTGCTGTAACCCAGAAGAGCTGTTAATTGAGGCTTATATTTATCTGCACATTGGTCAAGAAATCTGGTTTCCAGATGCAGGACACCTCTCGGTGCTCTATGACTTTCCAGAGCTTGCTGCTACATCACAAGATCACAGAATGGTTGTGTTGGAAGGGATGCTCAAGATCGTCTCGTCCAAACTGCCTGCCATGGGCAGAGACACCTTCCACTAGACCAGGTTCCTCAGGGCCCCATCCAACCTGGCCTTGAACACTTCCAGAGATGAGGCATCCAGTTTCTCCGGAAAACCTGTTCCAGTGTTTCACCATCCTCACAGTAAAGAATGTCTTCCATATATCTAATGGAAATCTGCTCTCTTTCAGTTTAAAACCATTGCACCTCATTCTATCACTACACTCCCTGATAAAGATTTCATCCTTGTCTTTCCTCTAAGCCCTCTTTAAGTACTGGAAGGCCACTATAAATTCTCCCCAGAGCCTTCTCTTCTCCAGGATGAAAAACCCCAACATTATCAGTCTGTCCTCACAGGACAGGTGTTCCAGGCCTCTGGTCACCTTTGTGGTCCCCCTCTGGACCCCCTCTAACAGGTACACATCCTTCTATGTTGGGGGCCCCACAGCTGGACACCCCTCCAGGTGGGGCCTCATGAGAGTGGAACAGAGGGGTAGAACCACCTCCCTTGACCTGCAGGCCACACTACTTTGGATGCAGCCCAGAAAACGGCTGATTTTCTGGGCTGTGAGCACACACTGCTGGGTCATATTCATTTTTTTCATCCACCATTACCCTCCCACGTTCTCCTTAGGGCTGCTTTCAGTCTGCTGTTGCCCAGCCCGTATTTGTGTTTGGAAATTGCCCCAACCCATGTGCAAGACTCTAGCCTGTGAGTATCCCTCAGGATGACATCCCTTCCCTCCAGCGTTGTCAACCACACCACACATCTCGGTGCCATCAGCAAACTTGCACTCAGTCCCACTGTCCATGTCACCAACAAAGAGTTTAACTAACAGTGGTCCCAAGAGAGGCACCTGAGGGATTACACTCATCACTGGTCTCCACCCAGACACTGAACAACTGACCACTACCTTCTGGATGCGACCATAGAGTCAATTCCTTATCCACCGAGTGGTCCACACATCAAATCGATGTCTCTCCAGTTTACAGACAAGGATCTCTCCGGTCTAGAGACAAGGATATAATGTGGGACAGCATCAAATGCTTTGCACAAGTTCAGGTAGATGACATCAACTGCTCTTCCCTCATCCACCAACTCTGTAACACTGTCATGGAAGGTTATCAGACTTGTCAGGCATGATTTGCCCTTAGTGAAGCCATGCTGGCTGTCACCCATCACCTCCTTATTCTCCATGTGCCTTAGCACAGTTTCCAAGAAGATCTGAAGATCTGCTCCATGATTTTGCCAAGCACAGAGGTACAACTTACTGGACTGCTGAAAGGCAAAGACTGAATGTAGCAGTTAAGAGACACTTGTTACTGTGATATGCTAAAATTGACTGAGTTTTCATTCTTCTGAGCTCAGTCAACAATTCTTTTTTCTTCCCCTTATATCAGAAAATAGCTTCACCTTTTGAGGCAAGACGCATACTGTATACAAAGCTGCAGCCATTTGGGCAGCAAGCCCAAGAAACTGACTCATTATCAACAAAAGACATCATCAACAGCATTTGATGGTGACCCTAAAAAGGTGGAAAGGCTTTGCTGTGTGGGTCTTCCTGTGAGGCACTACAACATGGCCTCTTTTTGACAGCATTCACATAGATACCCAGAGCTAGATATCACCAGGGACAGTGGGAAGCTGGGAATTGTCCCGATTTCTGTCACAACAGCACAC